TCATCACTATTAAGGAAACCTGGAGCCATTTACGGCGGCCTTGGGGTATACTAATCGGTGTATTCTGCCAGTACGGTATTCTCCCATTCGCTTCTTTTACGTTATCGCACATGCTCAGCCTCAATCCTGCATTTGCCATTGGTATGTTAGTTGTGTCTTGTAGCCCTGGTGGCATGGCATCAAATTTGTTAACTTACTGGATCGACGGAGATGTCTCACTGAGGTTGGTGTATCTTTATAGTTAATCGATATTGTTCTGTCTGATGCGTCATTAACACTACGATACGGCAACCGAGGTGACTCACATGATGGCATTTTATAAAACTATTTATAATTCATTTTTATTTTATAATTACTTTTTAATAACCAATTTCTGTTCTGAAATCTATCTTTAAAACTCACTTTCGTTCCTGATATCTGTTTTCAATGTATAAAACAATTGTGAATCCATTTTCGTTTTTATAATTCGTTTTCAAAATCCAGTTTCATTTTTAAAATCCGTTTTCATTTTCCTAATTCATTTTTTTTTCCAAATTCATTTCCGTTTTTAAAATCCATTTTCGTTTACAAAATTCATTTTCACTTTTAAAATCCGTTTTCAATTTAAAAATCCATTTATTTATTTCGAAATCCATTTCAATTTTTAAAATCCATTTTTTTTCGTTACCAAGAAATTTGACCTCAAAAGTGGGGTAACTTTCCACCAGTAGCGTATTTTCTTGCTAGGCCGATTTTGTTCATACTTGGAAAGCAGGTCATACCGTCACTCTAGTTGGGTTGTAAAATCGGAAAAAAAAATCCGGCCTAACACCCTAAATCTGACCTCCTACCAGACTTGTAATAGCAGTGGTCAGTGTTTTTTGTTTTGTTTTTTGTGTGTGTTGCTCAACGACATTGTTACACTGCATCAACGTAATCCCAGCGCAACGTTGCACTGAGATTGAACTGTAATTGCTGTGTTCGAGAGTCAATCAAAGAATCTACTAATCACAAAACTGTTGGAAATAATAATTAAAATTATCAGCAAAGTACGCACTAATAATAAAGTGAAGTGATCCTGAAGACTGAATACTCATTGCGAACTTCGTATACGGGGTCCCGGTCTTAGTTATACAGCAACACGAGCTTCACGTTCATGTCCTACCGTGGCAACAGCCAAAACATTTTGTTTGTTTTTTGAGCGGAGCGGATCGCCAACCAGCCCAGGAGGCTTGTCATAATTACCGATTACACAAGAATATTACAGAAAAAATATAATTTGTTATAACTCTCTATATTTTTGCCTTTCATTTGTCTTGAATTATGACTGAATGAAACTAAATGAAATTATTAACTATGTAGTGTGTTCAATAACTTATGATTTTAAAATAAAAATACTGTATTTTTCTACATAAAAACAAAAGAATTTCAACTACATTAGTAGTATCTATGGTTGCATCCGTGATGACAAGGGTGATTTTAAAGGGCGGTGGTCGTCGCGCCGCGCATGTGGGACATTTGTGTTGATAAACATTGAATTTCCCACAATCCAACGAGCTCTTCTAATGGAAAATCACGCAATGGGGGGGGGGTACCTGAGCGCGACTGGCACTAATTACCACCGGTGACTCCTTCGATAACTTCCAATCACCTAAAAAACACCTACTCAATAGTTTGGTAACGTCTCAGTTTGCATTCGTTGATCTGCGCAACAGTCAAAGTCGTCCTCTTAGTTTATATGAGACCCATACATACAAACTAAAATAGAGGTTATGATGAAAGCAAACATCTTTTTAACGCATACACTCATTTGCTGAGGAGACCACCTATCTACAGGCAAAATCGACGTTCTTGGCACGAAGATGTATTACAATTAACGTATACATATTTCAGATATAGCACACGTTTCACTATGGAATCGTAATTATAACTACGGACAGACGCATCCTTACAACATTTCCTTTAAAAATGGTCAGTGGACTTATCCAGGAACCGATATTCAAAATAACATGACGATTTTTTTTTTCAAACTCCAAAGCGAATAATTATTTTGTTCAAAGAAATTCAACGAAACACGCAGGTTTCTTCTGAGCGTCTACGAGTCACGTACTGACGTCACGTGCTTTGCCAAAATGCCATGCGCAAATATTTTCGAATATCATCAGCAACTTTCCGATACCTCAAAACAGCGCTGAATGGCTTGAGAGAAACCGCTATGCATTCTCTAAAATCCAACGAAAGGGCACATTGAAGCGGGAAGTCGTTAACTGCGCATGCGTCAGATAGCTATAGCGTGTAATTGTTTACAACATTGTACAACAGGCTTCAGGTCATAAGCCTTTGCGTTTTTAGCATGTCTTGTTATCGTCACTTGGGACTAAATTACCACGCGTGCGCAGGTGACGACCCTCCCGCTTTAACCAGAGCAAATACGAAAACAAACAAAGTAATGAGAGTGAGGGTTTAACATAATATGTTATTTAATATTTTTTCTGAAATGCATTTGACCAGCAACGCTTGTTCCGCCCACCCGGTAGGATAATGCTACACATAATGCGGGCGGAACATTACAACCTCCAGCGCATGGGGTATGCTTAGTGATGACGGATTGCGCAAACTGATGCACACTACTATTATTTTGAACAAAACAGAAGAACCAGACGCAAATTACATCAATGACCCAAACGAACTAGTTTTATCTGTAAAAATCTCTATTACACTATTTTATTAAATTAATAAATTTAACTTGGCGCAATGTACACGGGGAAGCAAATTCGTTGCGCATGCGTGCACTCTGTCAATGAAACGGTATTTGGTTGTGTAGTAAAAGCGCTCCGTCTGACTTAGAGGGCGCGATTTATAGGGAAACTCAGTAGCCTCATTTTGATTTGAATTGATTAGGTGTGGTTATGTAAGCAGTACACTGACCTCATCGTTACTCAGAAACCCGTGTCAGGTTGCCTCGCCGCCCGACACGTGGCTGTTGTGAGGTCAAATGATCTGGCACTTGAGTCGTACATTCAGTCAATCTTGTTTTAAGGATAATAATAACTTTATTACACAACCAAAACCATCAGATGGTTTAGTATGGTAAATAACAAATAACAAAAGACTAAACTGATAAAACTAACTAAATAAAAGTAAAACATTAATAGGACAAAATATAGGTATTAAAAGTATAAAATACTAAAACTGACATCATGGAAAGACATTGGTTCTGTCGCGGGTTAGATGTGTATTTATATACATACGTATACACTTATATATAAGTGATTCCACTGAATAATGTATTTTTCAAAAATTTAGAGAGGGCAAGGTCATGCTTCATTATTTTAAGAAAAACATCTGCAATTTTCTTGCCTGTGACTTTATTAGTAATGTTACATTCTAGAAATAAAGAATATCTTTCAATTTCAAAACATGCTTATTCCAGAATGAAACTGAATGCATCTCATCCTATATCACATCATTATTACATTTCTTACACTTTCTATCCTCAAGTTTTTATTTTTTTCGGTGACCTAATTCTGTTTCTAGTCTGATCACTTAGCCGAAATCCTGATAACATTTTCCGTAGATTAAAAATAATGATGTCTAAGTAATCTTCAAATACAAAATCTCTTTTTTTTTAAATACTAATGTTCATTGTTCAGTAGACACTGTACGAAAAACGTCTTGCGCTGCTTTGCCGTAAACAAGTGTAATGCTAAATCAATCAATACAGCCCTGTCATGACGTATTTATTTTGTATTAGGAAGGAATCTTTATTGTGGGATTGGTTAAAAATGATTTGAATTTTATTGCTTCGTAATGTTTTCGATAGCATTCACTCGTTTTGAGTGTTTTCGCACAGACTCGGAGCCCCTTGTACTTTGATAGTACGCCATCTAGCGAACTTTATACAAAACAATGTCGTCACGAAATTAGGCTAAACAATATTGTTTTTGGTCGTGAAGTTTGAAAAATTATTATTTTTTTATTTTTCCTCACCAAGGCTAGGCAAAATAAGTTCTGTGTTCAGC